CTAGCAACTGTTTAGCAACATGCTAAAAATCACTCAAACACCCTAGCTAAAACAACCTAGCAACTAGCATAAGTTGCACACATTCAGTGGTTGATAAAATGCAAAAATCTAGTTAGCATTTGAAAGAATGAGGAACATCCCATTTTGAAAGCAACATTTTTAAGATTCAAATCAAAACGTGTTAATAATAAAAAAAGCCACAAATAAGTCCAAAAGGGCTATGCATCATCTTGTCTGTCAATCAGCCTCTGGCAATAACAGTAATCTGTGATTTGGCTGACCAGGAACAGGCCGGGTCTGTGACTGTGTACCTGTCTCCTCTCAGGAGGCCTGTAGGTAAATGTGACAGGAGTGAAACTCATTGAAACTGGCTGCGTGCCAGAGAAGGCAATAGTCAGTTTAGTCTGAGGCCTGGGAAAGGGGGCGGGCAAGAAAGCTAACAAAGGGGTGAGTAACCGTTTCTACAACCACAAAGTGAGATGAACACCTCACCATTCATGGGAACCTAAACCTGTCAGGCCTGGCCACTGTTGCTCAACATGTGGAGAGCGGTATCATGCTAGACTCAAAAGCACAAATGCATCCTCAAGGAAACGTGGGTGTGTGTGAACGGCTGAATTTACAAGTTAGAGAAGATTAGTTTAATTACTTCATGTCAGGCTAATTATAGAAATTCCCTGTAGTTCTCTGACTTTTTACTTAGAAATGTTCACTATACTATTATGAATTAATTAAAACTATATCTCATATTTTAGTGTAGTCTACAATATAGCCTATACATTAAATATAATTTTATTTTTTATTTATAATAAAAAGGAACATAATACAATTTTTAATTGCTCATATAGAATAGATTAAATAAAAAGTTCTGCATTGTTTGATTCCAATCATTCATACTGACTGTGGTCTAGCAAACATGAGGCCATGCGTCATTTGATCTTTCATATTGTTAGGAGTGGTGACACCTAATCTAGTCCTCATAATCCATAATGGTTCACTTCAGTGCAACAGAAATTAGTCAAGTTGTGCAACTCATTTAAACAGGATGCTTTTCAGGTAGCAAGAGCGTAACCCCACAGTGGAAGTGATTCATTATTGTTGGGCTCACCAAAGTCTTTGTTGCAGCAATGGTGAGCAATACCAATATCATCATGCCCATGCCAATTTCACTGTGTTTTTTGTCATTTAAACAGGTACTAATGGCAGCCATTACTTCTGCAATTCAACATGACTGTTTAATGTTTAATGAAATCTGAGTTTACATGTAAAAGTTTACAGATGAACAGTTATGATAGAAATTTGAATTTGATCGAGAAAATTATAGTTTGTCAAGACACTGCTGACACCATATAGCTTTGCCTTAAAGTTTAAAAACATTTGTTACTCACCAGTGAATCCTCTGCAGTGAATGGGTGCCATCAGAATGAGTTTAAACAGCTGATAAAGTTCATCAGTTAAAGGGATAGTTCACCCAAAAAATGAAAATTCTGTAAGACCTTTTGTAAGACTTTTTGTGTGCGAAGAAAACAAAAATAATGACTTTATTAAATAATTATTCTCTTCCCTGTCAGTGTCCGCCATCATTCACGAGAGTAGCACGACGCATGCGTGTGGTGCTGCTGATGTAGAACACGCTGCGCCTTGTTTACAAACAGAGGAATGCACACACATGCGTCGTGGTACTCTCTGAAAGAGAAGAATTGTTGAATAAAGATGTTATTTTTGTTTTCTTTGCACACAAATAATATTCTCGTAGCTTCATAAAATTACGGTTCAACCACTGATGTCACATGACTAATTTAACGATGTCCTTACTACCTTTCTGGGCCTTGAACATGGTAGTTCCCTTTGCTGTCTAGGCAGGGTCAGAAAGCTCTCGGATTTCATCAATATCTTAATTTGTGTTCTGAAGATGAACGAAGGTCTGAGGGGTTTGGAACGACATGAGGGTGAGTAATAAATAACAGAATTTTCATTTTTGGGTGAACTATCCCTTTAAAGGGATAGTTCACCCAAAAATGTAAATTTTGGCATCACCCTTAAGTTGTTCCAAACCTGTATGGGTTTCTTTGTTTTGTTGAACACAAAAGAAGATATTTTGAAGAATGTTGGTAGCCAAACAGTTGCTGGTAGCCACTGACTCCCATAGTATGGAAAAAAACTAATAATAATAATACTATGGAAGTCAGTGAGGACCAGATATCAGGTTACCCACATATCTTACTTTGTGTTCAATAAAAGAAAGAAACTCATGCATGTTTGAAACAACTTGAGGGTGACTAAATGGGTAATTTTTGGGGTGAACTATCCCTTTAACGTTTTGTGAAGCAAAAAGCTGTGTGTTTGTAATATACAAATTCATAATTAAATTAATATTTTATATGGATTACTTGTGGACAGCTGTTTGGGCTCTAATTCTGATGGCACTCATTCACTGCAGTGGATCCATTGGTGAACAAAATTTGTAATGCTAAATCGGTTCCGATTAAGAAATAAACTCATCTAGATCTTGGATGGTCTGAGGGTGTATTAGTTTTTAACAAATTTTCATTCGTTGGTGAACCAATTTTTCAAAAGCCTTGAAAGCTCCGTGCCCATGAGCTGAACTTTATCGTGTAGTTACGACGTATACGACAGCGTGTTCCAGTTCCTGCCAATATCCAGCAACTTCGCACAGCCATTGAAGAGGAGTGGACCAACATTCCACAGGCCACAATCAACAACCTGATCAACTCTATGTGAAGGAGATGTGTTGCACTGCGTTAGGCAAATGGTGGTCACACTAGATACTGACTGGTTTTCGGACCCCCCCGGACCCCCCCAATACAGTAAAACTGCACATTTTAGAGTGGCCTTTTATTGTGGCCAGCCTAAGGCACACCTGTGCAATAATCATGCTGTCTAATCAGCATCTTGATATGCCACACCTGTGAGGTGGATGGATGATCTCGGCAAAGGAGAAGTGCTCACTAACACAGATTTAGACAGATTTGTGAACAATATTTGAGAGAAATAGGCCTTTTGTGTACATAGAAAAAGTCTTAGATCTTTGAGTTCAGCTCATGAAAAATGGGGGCAAAAACAAAAGTGTTGCGTTTATAATTTTGTTCAGTGTATTTAGTTATTTATTATATCTTAGGGTTTAGGGATGTAGAACATTTGAAAAAAAAGCGTCTAGCCAACGTAACAGTCTGAATTTCATTTTTAGCAGTTCACTACAAACAACAGCAACAAACCCTTTGTCTTCTGTTTACACTTCAAGGGTACGTGAGTGACATCCTCTCCCACATTCATCTGAACTCGGCTCAAAGTCCCAGCATGAGACGTCGGAGCGGAGAAGTGTGAGTTCACAACGTATTCATATTCCTTCAGTACCTGACACTTCTCTGCGTCTCATTTACACCCTCTGAAGATATTTGCAGGACCATTTACATCAAGTACTCATGCTGTTTGGGAAGCGTATTCAGATCTCTAACATTTGTTTGCTATGTACATAATTTAGTAGCACATAGTGTGTGTAAGCAAAGCGATATTTGTTCTCATAACCACATATTTAATTTAGTCATTTAATTATTTTTAATCAAAGTGAATTTAAAAATTCACAAGCTCATTTTAATTAGTTTGGGGAAAATATTTCATATGGTTATATAAAATTTCAAATGGTAATATTCAGCAAAAATATTCAATTAGTCAAAAGTGACAGTGAAGATATTTATAATGTAACAAATTATTTCTATTTTAAATATATGTCAAAATATGAAAATAGAAGTTATTTTTTAATTATACTTCACAATATTATAGTTTGTACTGTATTTTTGATTAAATAAATGCAGCCTTGTCAAGCATAAAAAAAAAAAAAAAAAAGACAAAAATATTTTAAAAATTGCACCGCCTCTTGAAAGATGTAATAGCTTACATTGTTGCTTAACTAAGCTCAAATATAATTAGGGAACAATATCCATTTTCAACATTATTTATTTAATATTTAAGAGGAACTTTATACAATTGTGGAAATCAACTTTCACATATAACACTTAAAGCAGGGAAAAAAAGAAGAACTTGCACAGTTGCATTGTGAAAAAAGCAATGGAAATGTATTTTGCCCTTTAAATTTATTTTTAGATGATGCAAAGAAACACTGAAGGAGAAGCCGTTTAAAAGTGCTGCTTGAATTTGATCAAAAGGCAAAACAATAGTGAAGACATAAAATGATCAAGCGGTACATCCTTCTTGCCTGAGACATCAAAACAGAACAGTTAAAACGGTTCAAACAGAACTGTTATAAAAACAAACAGCATTTAAAAAAAAATTATAACTTCCACAAGAAGCATATTTGTAACAAAGACAGTACTGTTTACCCTGTGAGAAGAACACACTGTCAGTAAAAGATTAAAATAAACATAACCAAGCTATGGCTCCACAAAATGGGCTGGGCTTCTATACTTTCATCTGAGTATGTGCTCTCACAATAGATTTACACAAGAGAGGACGCTAAACCCGTCTTAGGACACCAGGAACAACTCTGCCGAATTTTCCCCGGATGCAGGAAACCATTTTCACACAAGTCTAATAATCTTATCTTGCCAATTTGCAAGACAATCCCCAGCTAAGATTTATCAGGAGAACAGGCTGAATCATTGTAAGCGTGATGTTGGATTTATGTGGTCACAGCCACCTAAGAAGGCGAAAACTCACACATTGACTTTAGTTTGGGCTGTTGCATATGAAAGAGACTGTCTAAGTAGCACCTGACACAAAAGAGATAAGACAGATACCCGCTCCTATCCCCCTCGACCATCAGAGACATCTCCACGTGAGCACCATTCAAGCTTTGAATAGGCAGCTATCCAGCTCATGCAAATTCAGTCATTTACAAATGGTGGGTGCTCTTTGTGAACAATAAATGATTTAAGGAGTAGTTTTCTCTAATCCTTCTTCATAATGTGTCTATAAATCTTACAGCATGTGTTACTTATACAGCTTGTGTGATTAAAACGCTCCTTAAACATTGTGTTGAGTGACACAACAGCTCTCAAACGTCCCTTGAACATTTCCTGGGAAGTTCCCCACAGATCAAACAACTCCACCCAGAAAATAAAGCTAAATGACCGTAGGTAAACACACTCTCCAAAATAAATTAATCTCTCATGTAAACGGTCTACACATTTTGACCCACAGGGTCAGATGAAGCAGAAGAACTTCTTCCAGCTGCATTTGGAAAAAGCTTTAGCTCGTCTGTCTGACAGTCTCAGTTTTTTGGCCTTCCTGGCCTTGTGTTTAATAGCCGCGAATACTGCCTCATCGAAGGCCTCCTTTAGGTTCTTCTGGGTCAGGGCCGAACACTCCACGTACTCGGCGGCCCTGATCTTCTCAGCGAGGCTCCGTGCCCGTGAGCTGAACACGGGTTTGACCTTGTACCTGTCCAAGTCTATGAGAACGTTAACGTCCAACAGAAGGTCCGACTGAGTTCCGACTAAAATGATGGGGGAGGATGGGTTACACGCACGAATCTCAGGGATCCATTTCTTGGTTATGTTCTGGAATGACGTGGGGTTAACCACACTGAAGCAGAGAAGGAAGACATCTGTGTGTGCGTAAGACAGAGATCTGAATTCATCAAATTCTTCCTGCAAGTCAAAGACAACGGCAGATAAGAACACTTGACAAAGTTAACAAACTTTTACTTAATCAAATGTACACTTTATAAACTTTTTTTAATTGACACTTTACAGACTTTTAAATGATCTTTACGTTTGACAAACTTTTAAACAAAGTTTACAAACGACAAACTTTCGGAGCAAAGTGATTGATCCATTCACAAAACGCAAACTCTCAAGAAAGTCCTACAACTTCTGTGAGATACTTGATTAAATTGACAAAAGAGTTGAAAGTTTTACCTGTCCAGCTGTATCCATCAACTGAATCCGCACAGGGGTCCCATCCACCTGAACTTGTCCTGAATAAGCAGAATTTAAAACCTCTTTAAGTTTTCATCCTCATGATTCATCTAATTACTTTAACTTAACCATCAGGGTTTAGAAGGGGTCAAAGATCACCCGCTCACCTGAGAAGACGTCAAAAGCCGTCTGTTTGTAATCCGTAGGGTATCCATTGGTTGTGTAGCTGACAATCATACTAGTCTTCCCAACCGCACCATCCCCAACCAGCATACAGCTGATCGCAGGCTCCAGCGCGTCGTCCTGCTCTAAACACACGGACGGAACTCTTGACTCGTGGTAAAAGTAGTCCATTTGAGGGGGCATGTCCAACAATTAAAGCCAAGAAGAAGGGTCTTCAGGAAAACTTTTTAAACTCCACAGTATTGGGTTGAGACTGATGAGTGACTCATTACTTTCGCAGCTCAAAAGCTGAATTGACTCTCTCTTGATCTGTGACGGGACCTCTCTGTGCCTTTTGAATCAGCGAGACGGAGAGGCTTGACTTTGCATAGCCACGCCCACCACAGTCACGGGCCTCAATGGAAAGAACACAGATGAGCCATTTAATGATTCGTTAACGATTTGAATCCCAAACGATTCTTAATGAAACAAAGTGCATGCATTTTCTAAACTGTTAAATACTGGAGGTGTTTGTATTATGCAATTAAATAGACCCTTTAAATATTAACCATACCAAATGTAGAATACAGCAATGTCCCTAGGCGTTTTACACAGTCATCATCTGTAAGAGGAAAAACTGGACCTGGTCGATTGACTTGTTATACACGAGCCGTGTAAAAATGTTCAACATAAAGACGGTCCGCACTTTCATTTTTATTTTTAGAACTATTTTTAGACCTTTATCTTTGGATCTGGATATATTATTAGGCTGCCATGATTGATTAAAAAATAAAATAGTTTTTTTTTTTAAACGTAGCACCAAAAATAACCATTACAAATTAAGCATAATCCTAATATAACTGTAATATTTAATTACACAAAATGTCAATGCATGAGAATCGATCCTTAACTGAACAGTGCCGCTTCGTGGACAGATAAAGAACAGCAGGGACATTTTGTCATGCAATCACATGATATTCATCAGCTGACCAAGACAGCAATGCACACAACGCAGCTCGGTCACTTAGTTCTGTCCTTTTTAATTGATAAAATATAACTTATTGCTCAGTTTCGTTTCAATTTTTTAATCTGTTTTAGTTCCATTATTCCCTAGCACATAACGGGGGTATTGTCAGTAAATGAGCTTTTGAACTGGACATTTAGCTCATATGCTAGCGTGTTGTGGGTGGGAACGGCTGGTAGAAGTACTGTCTTTACGTGCAATGTAAACACAGGTTCAGTGTTTGTTGTACATACTGTAGTTTTGGGCATATATGATCATTTGCAATGGCATCTATTCTGGATCAATATGAAGATTCTCAGAACATCCGTCAACACAGCCGTGTGTCAGCGGCCAACATCGGGATTACTCATTCAGGTACAAACCTCTACATCTGCATCATTTAGTATATTTGCAGACATTATGTTTCCACTTCGGGTCATTTGGGGTGACTGTGGTACTGTACATTAAGTTTTTTTTTCTTTCAAAGGGTTTGTGAATGTTAGGTTGGAGGAAGAGAAACCTATTTTCAACAAGCAGCGCATCGATTTCTCACCTCCCGAAAATATCAACCATTTCTCAGTGTGCAACAACCAGTTATGCATGAGTCTGGGGAAAGACACCCTGCTGAGGTAAAGCTGCAATTTCTCTACTCTGTGTTATCTACTCTGTGTTATCAACAGCTGTTTAATTGGGAGATTTTGCAGTTGATCAGTTTTGCATTGATTAGTTTATGTACATGCAATTAGTGATTGTGTATTTTATTGTCTGAGTATTGAAAGGTGAAAGGACTAAGCAGGGAGGATTTGGACCATTAAAGACAATCCTCTTTGAAATGCATATTTAATCTAGCCACGTTATGTTAAAGTGGGATAAAAGTCACTTAATCTGCCTTTTATTTGTGTTGTTGTAATCAATCAATCAATCAATTACTAATTATGATTAATTTGCATAATGCATGTTGTAAAAATATATAGGATGAATCCCTGTAAAAACATTTACAGAGCAGTTTAATTGTTGTCATGCATATTATGTTTCAGAATTGATCTTGGAAAACCTGATCAGCCAAATCAGATTGAACTGGGAAGAAAGGATGATAGCAAAGTGCACAAACTTTTCCTAGATCCTACAGGTAATCACGTGTCAATGTTCACACCTTGCTGTAAGAGGATTTAAATGCATTCGGGCCATCTATTAGATGTCATTAGACACAAGTGGTTTGATTAGATTTACATGGAAATTAGTATGTAGTACAAAAGAAGCATTCCAAAGTAGTTTTAACAGATGTGAACTGGGAAATTCAATTAGGAAAATGTATATTTTCAATGCTTGGAAACGAGTACAATGAATAAACACATGAATGAAAGTTTTTGATATGATTTATATCATGTAATGCTCTACAATGTCATTGAGTGAAACTAATTCGCTGTTTAAACCTGGTATTAAGATCTGTCTTGTGTGATCCATTCACAAATGGTCAGGTGAGACAGCATTTGTTGTGATGTGCAAACACTGTTTAAGCGTTGCAAAAATATTTTTTTTCTGTTAACTTATTAAACTAGTCAGCTTGGTCTGACTAGCTGGCATTGAGGTTGAGGTTTTGTTTTTAACAATTATTCCTTTTTTTCTTTTTGTGTAAGAGTAAATAGCACAAATTAATCCGTTTAATTATGATTTGCACTTATGTATGCCACGTATGTACGTCATTTAAAGTTTTAATAATAATATTAAATCATTTAAAAATAAATAGTAAATAAATGAAATGAGATGTGAATAATTAAATATATTGTCATTTTATTTTTGTTTAAAGCTGTAAGCAGTCAAGTTCGAAATCTCTTTTTGGCACATCGGTTGATTGACAGATGAGTAGGCTCATCAACTTTTTCAACTGGTTAGCTTGGTCTAAATGTCTGACATTGCAAGATTATCTTGTGATAGTCTATAGCACAAATTGTACCATAAGGTTTTGCCATGTATGTCATGATTTAATGTTTAATAATATTGAATAATTTAGAAATTAATATTAATGCATTTTCAAAAATTTATATAGATAAATGTATATATAGAGCTGTAAGTTTAAAAATAAAAATACATTTAAAATCCATGTTTAGCAGCAAAGTAAAAAAAAAAACTCTTCAGCACAGTTGACAAGTGATTAGGCTGATCAGATGGATTAGCTTTTACAATACAAATGTGACATGGTCATTTTATATCCCATTTACACCTGTTTAGCATTGACTGAAGATGGATCTTATACAAAAAAAAAGCTCAGGCCTGGCTTTTTTAAATTTCGAATTTAGTGTTGAACTGCTTAAACTTACTTGCTTTTTAATGCAGTTTGTAAAATGACCTTATCAATTGCCTTACAGGGTCACATTTAGTCATCAGCCTCACCGCAAACGAATGTGTATACCTAAACCGAAACACTCAAAAGGTCCGAAGTCTGTCACGATGGAGAGGTCACCTGATTGAAAGCATAGGATGGAACAAATTAATCGGCTCTGAGACCAACACTGGGCCGATTCTGGTCGGCACCAGCCAGGGAATCATCTTTGAAGCGGAGATCTCTGCCTCAGAGGGCTCTCTGTTCAACACTAACCCAGACCAGTACTTCAAACAGGTTCATTCCCTGGAGGAGGATGGTAAGCCAGCTCCGGTTTGTTGCCTCGAGGTGGAACGTGGTTTGGAATCCAAGTACTTCATTGTTGCGACCACACGGAAACGCCTTTTTCAGTTCGTAGGAAAGCTGGCAGAGGGATCCGAGCAGCAGGGGTTCAGCTCCATCTTTGCCCAGAACCAGGATCTCCTACCCAGCTTCCAGGAGTTTCCAGTTAATATGGGCTACAGTGAGATTACGTTCTACACGTCAAAGCTGCGCAGCTCCCCGAAGACCTTTGCATGGATGATGGGAAATGGGGTTTTGTATGGACAGCTAGACTATGTGCGGCCCGACTCTCTACTCAGTGATGTTCAAGTGTGGGAATACACATCAGACATTGATTTAAACTGCGTCAAGCCCATCTCTATAGTACTCACACAGTTTCACTTCCTGCTCCTGCTCCCAGATCGCGTCAAGGGTATCTGCACTCTGAATGGGCAGGTAGTGCACGAAGATGTGTTTCCAGAAAAGTTCGGCACTCTAAAAAAGATGATCAAAGACCCCATCACTGGGCTCGTGTGGATCTACACCGAGAAAGCTGTGTTTCGCTACCACATCCAGAGGGAGGCGCGGGACGTTTGGCAGATGTACATGAACATGAATAAGTTTGACCTGGCCAAAGAGTACTGCAAAGACCGACCTGAATGCCTAGATACGGTGCTTGCCAAAGAGGCGGAGCACTGCTTCCAGAACAAGCGCTACCTGGAGAGCGCCAAATGCTACGCTCTCACTCAGAATTACTTTGAGGAGATTGCGCTGAGGTTCATCGAGGCCAAGCAGGAGGAGGCCTTGAAAGAGTTTCTGATTAAGAAGGTGACCAACCTCAAGCCCACCGAGAAGACTCAGATCACCCTGCTGGTCACCTGGCTGACAGAACTCTATCTGAACCGGCTTGGTCAACTGGAGACCGATGACGGCAAACAACATCTCTTTCTGGAGACCCGCGAAGAGTTCCGCACCTTTCTTAAAAGCCCCAAACATAAAGAGTGCTTCTACAACAATCGCAACACCATCTACGACCTGCTCGCTAGTCACGGCGACGTGGACAACATGGTGTATTTCTCGGTCATCATGCAAGATTATGAACGCGTTATATCTCATTACTGCCAGCATGATGACTACAGTGCAGCTTTAGATGTTCTCTCCAAACACTGCGATGACAAGCTCTTCTACAAGTTCTCCCCAGTTCTCATGCAGCACATCCCCAAAAAGGTGGTCGATGCATGGATTCAGATGGGAAATCGGTTGGATCCCAAGAATCTGATCCCAGCACTGGTGAACTACAGCCAGATGGGCAGCATGCAGCAGATAAATGAGACCATCCGGTACATGGAGTTCTGTGTGTATGAGCTGGAAGTCAAAGACGAAGCCATTCACAATTACTTACTCTCGCTTTATGCCAAACACAAGCCAGATTCTCTGTTGTGGTACCTCGAACAAGCGGGAACGCACGTCTCCGACATCCACTATGACTTGAAATATGCCTTGCGCCTTTGTGCCGAACATGGGTACCTGCAGGCCTGCGTCTTGGTTTACAAGATTATGGAGCTGTATGAGGAAGCTGTGGATCTAGCTTTACAGGTATGTGTGCTTTTATTCTTTTTACATTCTCCTTTATTTCTGTTGAGGAGCTATGAAAAATATTTTAAATTCAGCATGAAATGAAAATCCCCCCCCCCCTTTTGAGTCACGATGAAGCTTTTTACCTCATAATATTAGAAAAGTTATCACCCTGAATTTTTTACATTATAACCCCCCCAATATAGAAATGAAATTTTCAGAAATTAAACACAGAACACCTCATCATAAAAGAGGTATTCAAATCATTGCATGTATTAATTTTATTTTAATTTTGATTTGAAAAGATTTTTCAAAAATAATAATCATTACAACCATTGACCCTTAAAACTGTCTATATTGGGATAATTATGTATTTACTTTTTTTTTTTTTTAATCCCTTTTTTGTTTATCCCTTTAGGTGGATGTAGATTTGGCCAAGTCTTGCGCCGACCTTCCAGAGGATGACGAGGAGTTGAGGAAGAAGCTGTGGCTGAAGATTGCTCGTCATGTGGTTCAGGAGGAGAAAGATGTCAAGAAGGCCATGAACTGTCTGTCCAGTTGCAACCTTCTTAAGATTGAGGACATCTTGCCTTTCTTTCCAGATTTTGTTACGATAGACCACTTCAAGGAGGCAATTTGCAACTCCCTTGAAGAGTACAACCAACACATTGAGGAGCTGAAACAAGAAATGGAGGAGGCCACAGAAAGTGCCAAACGCATCCGTGAAGACATCCAGGAGATGAGGAACAAGTACGGGGTGGTGGAGTCTCAGGAAAAATGTGCCACCTGTGATTTCCCCTTGCTCAACCGACCTTTCTATCTCTTCCTTTGTGGGCACATGTTCCATTATGATTGCCTCTTACAGGAAGTCATCCCTCACCTCACTTCCTATAAGCAGAATAAATTGGAGGAGCTACAGAAGAAGCTGGCAGCGACCACACAGACCACCAAATCCAGGCACAGGCCCAGAGAGGAGGATACGGTCAGCTTAGGCAAGGGTCAAGGAAGCAGAGAGCAGATCAAGTCTGATATTGATGACATCATAGCGTGTGAGTGTGTCTACTGTGGTGAGCTGATGATCAAATCCATTGACAAGCCTTTCATAGATCCACAGAAGTTTGATCAAGAGATGTCCAGCTGGCTCTGAAGGACACACTTCTCCATGAGTTCATTTGAGGGCTGCTGTTATTCATTGTACGTATGCTGAAAGTTTAACCATTTGTGCATTGTGAAAGTTGTAATTTGTTTAGAATGTTATATGCTACATGCTGAATTAATGAGCATTAGCATGGTTCTGTTAACAGATATGTACTGTACAAATGGTCTTCTTTGATTTTATGTTGCTTTCTTAGTCACTTCAAAATGTAATATGCACTTGTTTTCATTTTGCATTGAGTACTATGAATAATATATTTTTTAATGTATGCAGCAAAATATAATAAATGATTGCTATCTGACCAGACTTTGTTGTGATACAATGTTATGGGGCAAAAGTGCACAGATATTTTATGGAAAATGATTTCATTTTGTAAAAAAAAAATAAAATTAATTGGTGAGAAATGTATAAATATAATTTTGTATCTAAGCACATTTTAAGTTGTTGGTGTTATTTATTTGATTAATTTAAATGACCTCTGTTCATTAGTGCTATTTATTTATTTTTTCAACAAATGTATACAATAAATAAATAACATATTCCAAGGGAAAATAGCCAAGGATTTATGCACAGCGCTATGACACGGCTCTAAAGGAAAATATATCAAATGAGAAAATAAAAAACAAAGAGAAATTTCAATAGATCACTTATGTTAAATAGATCACTTATGTACAAAAAAATAAATAAATAAATAATAATAATGTGAGCTTACATTCCAAGTTTTAGTAGCTTTTAGTTACAGGAAGTGGATTGATTGATTTGATTGAAAATAGGGTTACTTTTAATATCTTACATTTATGGATACATTTTGGCAAGCAAGATAATTAGCATAAGAAATAGACATTTTCATATTGCATTAATGCTATATATGTAGAACTGTGACAAATTCTACGTCAAGTCCCGATCACGCGATATTTTGAGGCTACATTCGGAAAGTGTTACGTCATTAGACCTTCGGCAACGTTCGGTTTTCCTAGGCACAATCAGTAGAACTCCGATAGCCATTATACGCTCCTCCAATAAACCAGTAAATTTATAATGGGTCGAATTCTTCAACACTATCTTTTTTAAACGAAACTACTCTTTTCTTTCTGCTACTAGTAATTTATTATGATACGTCCCTGAATGCTTATAAGATTGCAGCCTTCGCTCTCTCTTTGATTGGTACGCCTGTTCCCCATTCTGTCCTCGCCATGGCGCCGTGTCCCTGCTCTCTCAGTTACTGAAAGTGGCCGCCTCTCTGCTGCTACCGACTCACGGTCTCTCTCCTCGCTCACAACCGCCATTTTGGAGACAGAGAGCTGCGAGTCGGCTGCAACAGAGACAGAGCAAAAACGGCGGACACGGGGGACAAGGTGAGCTAGCGTTTATGAGGAACCTGGTGGGGGAGCAATGGGGGAAGATGGCCGGGAGGGAGAAAGAATTAGAATGGGAATCACAGATCTACTGGCCTCCTCGACTCCCGCAGTACATATTGACATGAGACGGGACAGATGGTGCTTGACCTCACGTGGAACAAGGCCACAGAAATCTTACGAATCATTTGAAATCATATCTCCCTACATTTCATTTGACAAAGAGGTGGTGGCCTTAAAGAGACAGGACCCATTTCAATTATTCAAAATGATCAAGAACTTGACATGATACTAAAACCTTAGTTAACTAAACCCGGTTATTCCAAATAGCAGTCAGCTAAACTTCATTGCCTTGTTTTTTAAAAACCCAATAAAGCTCGTTTTTAGTGGTCGTGGCTCAAATGTACCTTATATTGTAGCTCTGCTAACTAGCAACATATACAGTAACCCTGGATTTAGATTAACAAGCAGCACTGGCTGCTGAGACGCTTAGCATTAGCTAAACCTAGCCAGTTTAGAGTGCTAGCTAAGCTAAGTCGGATATAAAATATCACCCTGTCGATAATATTGTGTGAACAGTAGTTTTACCTGGATTTCATTATGAGTCTTTAGACACCTTGCTCCGCTGTACATTTCCTCATTATATAAAAGACTACGCTCGTATTAGTCTGTATCATCAGTGTGCGTAAGATTTATAAATTGCGTTGTCTCAAATGAAGAAACCAAAATTGACCAATATTTGGCAGTTTAACACATGCGTTTATTGATGGTGTAATAATAGTTCCCTAGGCGTTAAAGCCTAGTGAGTAGCCAAACTATTGAAGTGAGAATTGTAACTCGTAGCCTTTGCTGTATTTGTTACATTGCATCCAGGAAATGGTTAAATGGGGGCACTAAAACACTAGTGGTGTCAGTGCTTCAGTTATGTTTACAAAAACTCTCAAACCCTGTGCAAATGCACCAGTAATATTTGAGGTGGTGTATCATGTATTGTTTTAGAATTGCAGTGGGGTGAATTACTACTCACAGATGTAAGTTCATTTCTAATGGTGCATTTTCAATAAAACAATGCCTATTTTAATATAAGTAATACTTTTGGTTGGAGCATTCACTATTCTTTAAAAAGGGTATGAGAAGGAAATTCACACTATTTTCTATTTATCTATTTTCTGAATGTTATGAACAATTCATTAGTTCAATACTCAACAATTCATCCATGCACTTCACGTTTTATTTAATTTTTTAAAAAGTTGCAATGAAAGTAGCATCAGATTTTTGATCAAATAAATCAGAATGAGCTTTATCAGTGCAGCCTTAGTGAGAATAATTGACTTTTTCCAAAAGCATACTTTTTTTTTAACCAATCTCAAAGTTTTGAACAATAATGTAATTAATAAAGAAAATCTACTTTTCTTAAAACTGAATCTCTGAACACACGCACATCTAAAAAGCCCAGTTACAAGCACAGGCTATGTCATACACAAGTTTGTGGCCAGCTGATTCTGAACCTCAAAAGGCTGTTTATTAGGTTGATTAGCACGTCTGTTGCCCACATCCTGCTACAACAATAGAATAAAATCAGTATTACATTTCAGTATGCTATCAATAAACTTGTCAGCTGTATTAATTTCAATCCACATCATTCTCTTTCAGACACTGCCAGTATGCCTTGTGCATATGCGTTTTTTTCATCCAGTTCTGAATGTTTAAATGCAATATTCTTGTTCTAAATGCGCAATAAATCTGACAGTGATTATGTCTATATAAGAGTGGACGGTTTCATCAGTACATGCAGTAAATAAGTCAACATCTCATCCTTTTTTGTTTCAGATTCATAATTTCTGGTGCACTGAATGTTGAAATTGTGAAATATGAAGTTTCATTCTTCAAAGGTACTGTACTGTTCTTTGACCACAGTTTTATTACCTTGATTCAAAGCATTCAGATGATCTTCATAACCTTATTTAGAGTTAACCGACAAACACTTTCCGTGTTGCATTTGCAGTGATCGCCCTTTCAGGCTCTTAACCTCTACCTATGGCCTCAGAGCAGGATGGCGTGGGAGATGCCACATGCTCAAAGTTGGCCAAACCACTTCACCTGCAGTACCTTGAGCGATCCCTCCGTCTAGACACTTTTCTAAGGCAGACTGCTGCTGTTTTTAACCAGAGCATTTCCAGGTAAATTGTTTTGTAGTTCTCAAAGGCATAGAGGTCCTTTTTGACCTTTTGAGTCGCTGCATGACTACCATGCCTTTACAAAATCCTTAGCGACTATATTTCATCAGATGTGAACCTAAGAGTGTCAAGACTAAAATGCTTTTGATCAGTGATCAGATCTTTTTTTTTTTGGTTTGGTATATAGAATTTTGGTCCGTGTCAGTGCTAAAGTACTGTTTTGTTTGCTCAGAGCCATTGGACTTTTTATATATATTTTATATATGTTGATGTATTTCTTTTCTCGTTTGGGATTTTTAGCTATTTTGTTATTTTAGAATGTTTCTCCATTCCCAATAATTCCAAACACCAAAGGCTAATAGTAAATGTTTTATGGGAAATATTGCACTGCAGCTTGGTTGTAAGGCCTGTGGTGGTTTGTTTATGTGTGCTTCTTTATATCAGCGATGACAGTGATGGTGGTTTGGGTGAGGGTTCTTCTCTGGCCCCGTCTAACCCACTGCTGGCAGTGAAAGATGATCACATCAAGCCTGAGAACGAGTCCAAGGACTCCTGCAGAGATGGAGAGGCAGAGTGTGGCACTCTCAATGGAGCTGTGCTGCAAGGTACAACATATAACATAAAAAATAGCCATGTTCTATAACATAAGAATGTGATTTTCTGTATATATTGCGCTGACCAGTTGTCTTGGACTTCTGTTTGCTTCTAATGCTGTGGGTGTAGTATTAAGTACATTTTATCTTATTACTATGATAAAACGAGTAGTATTTGGCTGGTCGTGTGATTTCAAAATGGCGGCCTTTAAGAGGCATTCTAATGTGTATGTGATTTTAAACATATTTTTCAAAAGTACTCTTCATTTATTTAGGAGTGAAAGTTTTTAATGAGTAAAAACAATTGACCTTAAACCCCAAACTCATCCACAGAGCACAAAGCTGACAAGGCCAGTCTGTATAACTTCTCGAAACTGAAGAAAAGCAGAAAATGGCTCAAGGTAACGTATTTATACAACAGTACAGTAATTCTGGAAAAACCTTTATCTAAATCCAATCCCTGCTTTGTAGAGGCCTGTTTCCTCCTCAGAATAAAAAAAATAATAAAACCAGTAATTGCGTTTAAAATAGTTAATAAAGGCACTTTGCAAAATATAAACGGACAGTTACAAGAAATATAGTCTCAACTGTGATATGAAAAATCTAAATGATGACAAATAAAGTGGCAGTACTGGTGAGAGTAAAGTCGCAATTAAAAGAAATAAATTCAGAATATTGAGATATGATGAACTCTAAGGGGACATGGTGATGGAAAAAAATGTTCCCTCCAAGAAACGTTGCATTCACTCCTAAATGTTTGCATTCTCTCACAAAAAGTTTTGTGTTGTCCCGGAGAAACGTTGCATTTTTGTGAGCAAACGCAGAGCTGGTCATGGAAATGAGGTAGGATGAAATATTATATTTTAAAGCTTTTGTGAGCAAATGTTACATTTCTTAGGGGAACGCAATACTTTTGTGAGAGAGCAGGAAAGTTTTTGAACACTGGGGAACACAAATGTTTTGCAAGTGAACACAAAAGCATTGAAATAAATAATTGTTTTCTATAGCTGGCCCTTTAGAAGTTGCAGCTATGACAAAATACAAATAAATTTGATTTGCAGTAATTAGATATGAAATGACAGTTGTTTTTACTCTGAAGGGGAAACAGATTTCCATAATACTATTCAAACTGGCAAAAAAAAAAAAAAAATTATTGGTAGCTCTCCTTTATTTCCATGTCTAAGGAGTGATGTTTGAGAGGTTGTTTGTGAATTTCAGGGCATCGTGCTGAGCGATGACACCACAGATTCCGATACGGACTCAGATGATTCTGACTTCACAGTGACACGGGAAGACCTCCAGGACATGCTGCGCCTGCACAAGTTCACCAAACTCCACCAGAGCAAGTTCCACTCTGACAGAGAAGTACGACACGCTTGCTGAATCTGGGATAGTTACTCCCGCATAAACAGTTTCATGGAACCAGTTGGTAATGTGTGTTTTTGTGTTCACAGCTGCAGCATTATCAGCACTACAGCACAGGCCTCCTCTCCACTCACGACCCATTCTACGAGCAGCAGCGCCACCTACTGGGCCTCAAGAAAAAGAAAATCAAGGAAGAGAAGAAATGTAAAGGTAAGCCTACAGAACAAAAGAGGACGACAGTAGCTGTTTTCTAATCACATTAATACTCATTCATCTTCTGTTTACATAGCCAAGAAAAAGATGAAAAAGAAGAAGAAACGAGGAGAGGAGTTCTCCATGGAGGGACGGCCACACGTTACTAAAATTTTTGCCAAGTTTTCTCATGATGCACCTCTTCCCATGATCAAAAAGAAGCACTTAACCGTTGAGCAGCTCAATGCTCGTAGACGAAAGGTCTGGCTCACAATTGCCAAAAAAGAAATCCCAAAGGTACAAGCATTTTTCTTGGTCATCAGTTTGGAATCCCATTGAGCTTTGTGACACGCACAATATCTGTTTCTTCTGTTCCTGCTTTAATTTGTTTTCATTGTCTCATTTCAGGCATTTAAACAGAAAGTCTCGGCAAGGAACTTTGTTTTAACCAATGCCAGAAAGGTGAGAGGTGTTTATTTTTTGCATACACTACCAGTGAGGTTGGTAAGAATTTGAAATGTTTTTGAAAGAAATCTCTCATGCTCACTGAGGCTGCATTCATTTGGAAAAAATGGAGTAAAATTCAGTAATATTTTTGAAATATAAATACTAATTTTAGCCATATTTTCTAGTGGTCGACCGATATATCGGCCGATATTTGGCATTTTCCAAATATCGGCATCAGCGATACGTTTTTCTGTTCGGCCGATGCGTTCGAGGGAGGACTTTTATTTTGACAGCGCTGAGAGCGGCAGCGCCTGCGCACACAGTGCTCACATTCTCCCTCTTGTTTGCCGTCGTCCTTAACAGTTCTGTCTAATACGGATAGAAGTCTGTCTAATAATCCGATAGAACTGTTAAACAAAGGAATTAAAATGTATACAAAAAGTATTATAACGATTGCTTTTATATTATTAGTCATAGAAAGGCAAACATTATAACACTTTCTCATTTGCCGTCAGCATTCAGCAAATACGCATTTACATAATTTAAACAAATCTTTGAATGGCTAATGAAAATTTAATTTCACAAACCTTGCAAACTTAGTCGAATCTAGTTGTGAGTCTTGTGACGTGTGCATGTGACCTGCATGATTGCGTGTTCTCTGCGTGACTTTCGAGATGGTCCTCACTGCAGAACACAAGATCCAGGGGGCAAGGATGGATCCAGATCCAACTCCTCCCACCCTACATATACCTAAACCTACCCGTCTCCACCCCTAAACCTACCATCTCCACCCCCTAGATGTGGCTCCAACCCCGCCCCTGGATCTTTGTTCTGCAGTGAGGGGTTACTGTGACTTTCGTTCCGTGCAAATTGAATGCTTTAAGCATTAAATTTGTGATTTCAAATTGTGCTGCGCTTTATGCATTTGCCCACTGTCATATTCATGTCATTTTCACTGTGTGCTGTATGTAAAATGAGTGTTACCTTGGCTTTATTTGAAAAAATATGATTCCCAATGCACACAAATTTCCCAGAATACTGAGTACTCTGATGGTTACAGTTTACTTCATTTTTAATTATTTTTTTAATAAATATTTATTAATTTGTGGAAAATACTTTGTCATCTAAAGTATAAGTATGTTTATTTTACAAATTTATTTTTTAATCCATTTTTAAATTATTTCAAATTTCTTAAATATTAATTAAAATAAATACATTTATATCGGCCATCTGCCACCCTGCTTTCCAAGATATCGGCATCGGCTGTCAAAAAAAAACAATATCGGTCGACCACTAATATTTTCACATGATTCTTCAAAAATCATTCTAATATTTTGATTTGGTGCTCTAGCAACATTTATTATCATAATATTGTTGATCTACTTAATATTTTTGAAGATATTGAAACATTTTTCAGGATTCTTTAATGAATACAAACTTAAAACAGAATTTATTTGAAACCGAAATCTTTTGTAACATTGTAAATACCTTTACTGACACTTTTGATCAATTTAATGCATCCCTGCTGCATAAAACTCAAAATCTTACTGACCCTAAACATTTGAATGATAGTGTATAGTGTGGTCAAAATTCTGAGACGACACTGAAAATCTTCCATTAAAAATGCATGTGTACATTTGTCCAGTTGGCCCATCAATGTATGCGTGAGGTCCGGAGGGCTGCGATCCAAGCGCAGAAGAATTGCAAAGAGACTTTGCCACGGGCACGCCGCCTCACCAAAGAGATGCTGCTGTACTGGAAGAAGTATGAGAAGGTGGAGAAGGAGCACCGCAAGCGAGCTGAGAAAGAGGCTCTTGAGCAGCGCAAACTTGATGAGGAGATGCGGGAGGTATCAATACATATGCACTAGAAATTATATTTAGCCGAGAATCACTTCCTAAAACATTGTCCTGACAGTTCTCCCTTGTGTCCCGTCAGGCTAAGCGTCAGCAGAGGAAGCTTAACTTCCTGATCACCCAGACAGAGCTGTATGCTCACTTCATGGGGGGCAAGCAGGACGCTGGGGGAGACGGCACAGAGGAGGAGATCCTGCGCAAGCTTGAGGACAACACCTCCCAACGGCAGATCGACATTGGTGGAGGAGTTATGGTCAATGTCGGCCAGGAGGACTATGGTATGATCTTTTTCTGTCCCTGATAGATGTTATCAAAATGCGTATAACAATCATATGCATTTTAGAGTCAATTTTCATGCTGTCCTTTTGCAGATAGTGAATATTACAAGTCTCAGGCCCGTAAAAATGCAAAAGAGGCATACCAGATCCACCAGGCCAGAGTAAGTGGGAGTACCTTTGATTTACATTATACATGTCTATCTTAATTAATTTTGGCTGGAAATGATTACAATGTCCCTTTTTTTGTTCTGTAGACCAGGTTGTTTGACGAGGAAGCAAAGGATAGTCGCAGTGCCTCTCTGCACACGGCTAGCTCGTCTGGCTCTGGCTTCGGCGAGAGCTACAGCTTATCAAACCCATCTATTCAAGCAGGCGAAGACATCCCCCAGCCCACCATCTTCAATGGGAAACTTAAGGGCTACCAGCTCAAAGGCATGAACTGGCTGGCCAATCTTTATGAACAGGTGATTTTTAATGCTCTCTTATGGTTATTTATACATACACTAGCATTCAAAAGTTTGGGTTAAAGTTTAATCAAGATTTTTTTAAGGAACTGATATTTTTATTTAGCAAAGATGCATTCGATTGATCAAAAGTGACAGTAAACACATTTATAATATTAGAAATGTTTTCTTTTGAACTTTCTATTTATCAAAGAATCTTGCAAATATTTAAAAAAAGCTATTAAGCAGCATGACTGTTTTTACTGATAATAAGAAGTATCAGCATATTAGAATGATTTCTGAAGGATCGTGTGACACTTAAGACTGGAGTATGATGCTGAAAATTCAGCTTTGCCATTAAGTATATTAAAATAGAAAACTTTTATTTTAAATTGTAATATCATTTCACAATATTGCTGTTTTTACTGTATTTTTGATCAAATAAATGCAACCTTGGTGAGCATAAGAGACTTATTTCAAACACATGAAACATTTTTACAGACCCCCTAACTTTTGAACAGTAGTTTATATCTTATCTTTCCATCATGCCTGTGGACTTTTTAAAGATGATTTATGTCTCTGTCTGATTGTCTCTCATAGGGCATTAATGGCATTCTGGCAGATGAGATGGGGCTTGGAAAGACGGTTCAGAGCATCGCTTTACTGGCTCATCTGGCAGAGGTAAGGACTGACATTCCAAGTTTTCTGAAGCCATGCAGCAGCTTTGGGTGAGGGACAGACTGAAAATTAAATAGTTACGCACTGAAAAACTTGCCATTCGTGATTCGTCCTAGCTTTCCTTAATGAAGACATATTAAATGTTATTTTAGTATTAGCAAATAACAAACAGTAATACTTGTACTACTACGAATGAAAAATCTCAATTTTAGTTTTCCCAGAGCATTACATGTATATGCTCTCTCCATCCCTTTGTATCATCTTCAAGCCAACAGATTTCACTTGAAAGATACTGTATTTCCCAATCTCTAGGCTCTCAGGTCGAAAATCTGGAAAAGGTTTATTTTTTTGGAAATATGAGACCAGCGTTTTAAAAGAAAACAATTCTCTGTTCTGCTTTCCTGTGCTATCATATTCATTTCTCCCAAACAAACCCCTGACACCACAAATCAGTTATTTGGCATCAGTGTGAACCCTCCAGCTGTCTCCGCTGCTCTGCGTGACTTCCAGGGCTTGTGAAAAGAGGAGGATACAGAGTTTTGGTATTTGATATGAAAGTGTAGCGCTGTGGGCCCATAGGAAGCCATGGTAGCATGTTACCTCGTTCTTCAGTTGTTTCCTGTTTTGACCCCTCTCTCCTCTCTCTTTCTTTCCCACCATCTCCATCCCTTTCCCCCTCCGCTGTCTGCACCTGTTTGGCTTATTTTGTGTTCGTGTGCTCTATTGGACAGAGGGAAAACATCTGGGGACCCTTCTTGATCATCTCCCCAGCCTCAACACTCAACAACTGGCATCAGGAGTTCTCCCGCTTTGTCCCCAAATTCAAGGTGAGTGTGGTAGCTGTGCAGGGAAACACCTGCAGCCATGGAATCCTTTTTACCGTTCTCTCTTGCAGTGTGTTTTTTCTTATCCTTTGCATATTTTTGCTGTAAGGAAATGAATGACAGATTACTGCACTTCTGGTCTAATTTTTGTAATCCTTAGGGGGCAGTGTTGTATCATTTATAGCGTGTTCCACTAATGTCAGCAACCTAAATATTAATTCACCTTCAGTCAGATTAATCTCACAAATTATCTGTATCTGAAATTCCAGCCAGAAAAACTTTAGGAATATCAGAGCACTGAACAATAATTATTTCTCTTTGTTGACCAGGTCAGGATTTATACTAGCCCTGCTGATGTATTCACTGGCCCTGCCACAATTTGTTTTTAGCAACATATTTTTGTGTGTCAGGATATGTTATGTTAAATTTGTGTAATAACTGGAAATTATAAAGATATAATGTAACTTCATGAAAGCTATAAATTCAAACACATACTTTTACTTTCTTATTTTTGCCCAGCTTAATCAGTCCATCCTTATTGTTGAGCCCTGAATAGTTCACATAATACACCTTGTAATGAAGTTAAGATTATGAAAAGTATGTGCATATATGTTTTATTTCAAGAGTTTTACATCTTTATTTAATTTAATCAGGCAAAGACAAATTTCAAATAATATTTCTTATGTAATCATTGCAATCTTGTCTCATTATGTCTTGCAGGTGTTACCGTACTGGGGGAATCCTCATGATCGTAAAGTCATTCGAAAATTTTGGAGCCAGGTAAACATTTCATAAGAATATTGCTTTAAAATATCAGATGAATTGCAATCTACTACTTGAACCATGTATTATCCCTTTTTGGCTCCTGTAGAAAACTCTGTATACCCAGAATGCACCGTTTCATGTTGTCATCACCAGTTATCAGCTGGTGGTGCAGGATGTGAAGTATTTCCAGAGGGTGAAATGGCAGTATATGGTTCTGGACGAGGCCCAGGCACTGAAAAGCAGCACCAGGTAATTAGAACATGACTAGTAATGTTTACTTTACACACATACACACTATATATCAGTGGCGTGCAGTGGTGTTTTAAAATGAGGACTGTGTGTACATTAATGAGGGAAAAAAAATAACTTAAATGATTTTAGCAAATGGCTGCAATATAACAAAGAGTGAAAAATTTAAGGGGGTCTGAATACTTTCCGTACCCTCTGTATATATATATATATATATATATATATATATAACATAAAAAAGAGAACAAATATAATTCTATTTAGTATTTTATTAATATAATTTTTTCTTTTATTTAATATTTTTAATACTAATTATACATTTCATAGTGTTTTTGTGCATTTTTATTCCAAAATAATAACTAAAGGCAGTAACAATTTGAACAATATTCTGGAAACTAAGAATAAACAATAGCCTACTTCTACTGCATTATTAAAATCAAAAGTTGTGTTTGTTTATGCACTGTGAACTAACAATGAACAACTGTATTTGTATTAACTAATGTAAAGAAAGGTAATAAATGTTCATTGTTTGTTCATGTTAGTTAACTCATTAAATGACACCTTGTAAAATGTTACCAATATTTTTTATTTGTGAACTTATGTTCAGCTGTTCTTTTTTAATAGTCAACTTATTTCAGGTAATCGTCATAAAAGCTCTGTAAACACTGCCACAGACACGAAGATATATCTTTCATTTCATCAAGCTGAATGCTCACTAAAAACTGACGCAGTCATCACGTTTTCAGATTTCAAGTTTTATTTTGACTAGGGCTGGGAATCGAGAGTCGACAAAGGGAATCGACTCCTCATTCAGAGCCCTTTTCAGTTCAACAAAGCTTATCTATGGGTGCCTCTCAAACGGAAGGCTGCACACATTTAAATTCACGAAGGGTCGGTACTGAGATCATCTGAATTTTAGGATGCAGCCTTCTGTTTGAGAAGCACCATTCACCTCCCTCATGCTCGCTAAAAGCCGTAATTACGAGAGTTGTTAGATAAAAGATTATTTTCATTTTTTAGTACCATTCGCCTCCCTCATGCTCACTAAAAGTAATTAGAAGGCATTAGAACCAGTTCGAATGCTCACTAAAAACTGACGCAGTCATCACGTTTTCAGATTTCAAGTTTTATTTTGACTAGGGCTGGGAATCGAGAGTCGACAAAGGGAATCGACTCCTCATTCAGAGCCCTTTTCAGTTCAACAAAGCTTATCTATGGGTGCCTCTCAAACGGAAGGCTGCACACATTTAAATTCACGAAGGGTCGGTACTGAGATCATCTGAATTTTAGGATGCAGCCTTCTGTTTGAGAAGCACCATTCACCTCCCTCATGCTCGCTAAAAGCCGTAATTACGAGAGTTGTTAGATAAAAGATTATTTTCATTTTTTAGTACCATTCGCCTCCCTCATGCTCACTAAAAGTAATTAGAAGGCATTAGAACCAGTTAAAAAAAAACGATTCAGAGGTTATTTTATGGTGGACCTGGCTTGTCCACATTTTTGAGCGCTGCACGACAGAATAGATCATGACGTGATCAAGTGTCTTGATCTTATTTCCATCTAAAATACTATTTTTTAAAAAACATTTCTATCAGCCAATGATAATTATAAAAGAAAACGTCCCGAGCATAGATCAGTGGCTGAGAGCGCATCTGATTGACAGATAAACCACGAGCTCTATCAGTTATTGTTAATGTTCTGGTTATTTTGTTCCAGTATACAGTTTGTTAATTTTGCGCAAAGCATACAGTCAAAGTAAACTTCATCATTCAGCTGAACTGTGCACATTTATTTTAGACACTTCATGTCATGTTCAATTCATGCCATAAACGCATGTCCCTGCTGAGCTGTGGGCTATGACTAATTTCACGGGCAAAGCAGACAAAATTACAATTTATGTATCGTCATTTTTAAAAACAATTTTTACAAATGAAGCTTCATATTATGAGAAGGATACTTTCTACGACCTTTATCTTGGAGTTATGGTGAGATTATAAATTCCTTCAATCTAAAAAAAAAAACAAGAATCGAAAACAACAGTGAGGAATCGATTCCAGAACCAGGAATCGGAATCGGACTCGATTCCAAAAATTTCGGAATCGAACCGCCCTAATTTTGACATGACACAAAGTAGTGGTATCTAAGCGGGAGTGTTGTTTACTTACTTTATAATTAGTCAATAACTCCATCATTTGCACGAAAACAAGAGGCAGAATTTATCACACGAACCAATCACAACTGATCATATCCAATTATAGCACGATGGAGGCATTTCCTCCTCTCACGTGACTTTCGCCCATTCATTTCAACGAGCCTTCAGAAAAGTCATGGCATGCTAAGGGGTCTCTGTAGAAAGTCAATGGAACGAAGGGAGGCAATCCTCTGCTGTAACTTTACCTGTGAGTGTCGCTGTTGGACAGTATTACTTTGTAAAAACGAGTGACTTTTAGACTTTTAATATCATATTTGTGCTGTTTTATTTTTGTAATATCGATTATTTTCTCATCCAACTTTTTGAGGAGACACTGCCTCCCTTGCCTCCTCGTAGGAAACGCCCCTGCTATATACAGTATATATATATATATATATATATATATATGCACACACAAACGTAATTTTCGGAATAACAAGATGATTGACTGCAAAGCATATGGGATTATTACATGCAGCCAAATCTTGATAATTAATAAATTAATGAAATGAAATAAGCTTAACATAAAAGTATAACTGAAAATAGTTATAACAAAAATATAATTTTAATACAGTTCCATGTACGAATAGAATATTACACCGAGTATTTACTTAAAAACACTAGCACGGTCACACTGCTGATAATCTTAAAATAGCCAGTTAATCACTGTATTTTCCTGCGAATATAGCTCCAAAATGTGAAAATCTGGTTGTCTAACTGATATGTATCCTTGGTTGAACCTTTCAACAAGGGAAAAAGAGCTTCTAAAAAGCTCCAGAGAGTCTCCAGTACTGGTGCATCTCAGATTTTCCATGTTCCCGTCCTCATAGTCAGTACAGTGACACTATGTCTGGACTGGAACCCTTCAGAGAATGAGGGCCTCTCGAGTTCTGAGTGTGAGTTTGTGCCTCTCTGGAGATGACAGCACATGTGCCAGCAGCTTCTGTTGTGGTGGAACATGATTTATTGCCCAATCGGAGACTCTAACAGGGCGCCAGAGCAGCTTTCATGAGTTTTTAAAGTCCCCATAATTAATGAAAGACTTAACCAAGTCTGAGAAGTGACCTCTGAAGGGAATACCTATAGGATTCAGAGTTCAGCATTGAGTGTTGATGTGATGTCGCAAGTTATATCCTCCTTGATTGGGAGGTCTTAGTAGCTGTGTCTGGTTCTTCTTGGCAGTGTCCGATGGAAGATTCTCCTTCAGTTCCAGTGCAGGAACCGCCTTCTGCTAACAGGGACGCCAATCCAGAACACAATGGCCGAGGTGAGTGTATTCATGTGAGACCTTGTTTGAGAGTCCACGTGTGTGAGTGAAAAACCTGACGCCGTTGTTCTTCCTCTCAGTTGTGGGCCCTGCTTCACTTTATCATGCCGACTCTGTTTGACTCTCACGAGGAGTTCAACGAGTGGTTCTCCAAGGACATCGAGAGTCATGCTGAGAACAAATCTGCTATTGATGAAAGTCAGTCAACTCTTGTGTTTATTTCCGTTTAAGTTGTTGTTTACTGTTCATTTGATCTCCAGGCAGGTTGCAATATGTGTTAGGGTGGAACAATGCAGTCAAATAAATTATTTTTAAAAAATTAGATTAAAAAAAGTTTGTGATGACAAATATGGATGTTAATGTGAAAAAGACAGGATAGAAAGTTTGAAGTAGATTAAAAAGCTTGAAGTTTGAAAGTTTTTTAATTTGAAGTAGTTTTAAAAGCCATCATCGTCTATTCTCCTTCTAGTCTGTCAGATAGATAGACAAGTTTTATCATGTTGCTAGCATATTTTAGCATGTTAGGCTTTGCTTTTATGTTTTGGCATTTAGCTAGCGTGTCCTAAGCTAGATGTTAGGCTTTGCTACTGAGGAGAAGTTTGTATCAGAAAAGTAAAACAGTTAAATCAAAGAAGAGTATGTTGGCTTGCTCAAGCCAACATAATTAAGTTATTATATATTATTTGGGATTTCAGCTGCAATATGTTTTAATAACATTTAACATTTAATATTGAAACAGCAGCACTCATGCTGAGCAAGCAAAGCCTTCACGTTTTGCTCATGTTCTGCTGTCATTTGACATGATTTACCTTGGTTTACCCTTTCAGACCAACTTTCCAGATTGCACATGATCCTAAAACCCTTTATGCTGCGCAGAATAAAGAAGGATGTGGAGAACGAGCTCTCTGACAAGGTGATGTCCTATAGCCTCTCAGACAAAATTATGGTTTCATACCTAATATGTCTATGTATGTGATATTTATGTTGCTTATTTTTCATACCTGCATCTCAGATTGAAATCTTGACATACTGCCAGCTGACCAGCAGACAGCGGCTGCTCTACCAGGCTCTAAAGAACAAGATCTCCATCGAGGACCTGCTGCAGTCATCAATGGGCACGTCCCAGCAGGCCCACAGCACCACCAGCAGCCTCATGAACCTTGTCATGCAGTTCAGGAAGGTGAGGCCGGGTTTTTCAACTTTAAAGGGATAGTCCACCCAAATATGAAAATTCGGTTTGAAACAACAATAGGGTGAGTAAATGATGGAAAAATTTTGAACTATCCCTTTAAAGCCTGTGAGACCTTTAACGTATATATAGTGAAGAAGCGGTTTTTCATTCACCATTTCACACCATGTTGTTCTCATCTTTAAAAGGTTTGTAACCACCCAGATCTGTTTGAGCGTCAGGAGATACGCTCGCCTTTCCACATGTCCCTGAAGCCCTTCATCATGTCCAAATTTCTGTTCCGACACGCCATCATCCGTACGTCTGACCACGGAAAGACCAAGTGAGTAGATCTCAATGAAGCTCCCAGGTTTACTGTACCTCCCTTAAAGCCCGTTCACACCAAGGATGATAACTGCTGTATAAAGTTAACCATTGTAATTCTGTAAGAATAGGGAAGTGCACACCACAAATAGACACGAAGGAACAATATTGTTGGATTAACTAGTTGGAAGAAAGAGTGTTTTTTTTTCTTTTTCTTTTCCAGCTAATGAACGATAAAACATATTTAGCCAGTCAGAACAATTAAAGCAGCAGACAACATGCAGTTGTGCTCAAAATTATTCATACCCTTGGTAAATATGAAGCCTACCAAAGAAGGCTGTGAAAATAAATCTGCATTGTTTATCCATTTGATCTTTCATTCAAAATTTAATATTTGAAAGTGGGGGAAAATCACATTATGAAAAAAATATGTTTTTCTCTAATACACAATGGCCACAATTATCAGTACCGCTAGAAATTCTTATGAGTAAAATATCACTGAAGTATATTCCCAATTCATATTTGCATTTAAAACATATAAGTAAAAACAAATAATATAATTCTGATGTGCAGTAAAAGATTTTTGAGCTTCACTTATTAGAAAGCAGCTGTAAGAAAATGAGCTAAAGCATCGAAAATTCCCAGTTCCACCATCAGGGCAATAATTAAGAAGTTCCAATCAACTAAAGATGTTACAAATCTGCCTGAAAGAGGACATGTGTCTATGTGCATGGTGAGGAGGAGAGTTTGAGTGGCCAAATACTCTCCAAGGATCACAGCTGGTGAAGTGCAAAGAATAGTTGAGTCTCGGGACAGAAAGCCTCAAAAAAAAAAAAGTAATTAATTTAAATTAATCAAACAGAACCTATATCAGCACATGTTGTTTGGGAAGGGTTCAAGAAAAAAAATCAAGAAAACAAAATGCTCTCATTCAAAAACAAACATATAGTGTATTCAGCTGTCATACGGTTACAAATCTGCCTGAAAGAGGACATGTGTCTATGTGCATGGTGAGGAGGAGAGTTTGAGTGGCCAAAGACTCTCCAAGGATCACAGCTGGTGAAGTGCAAAGAATAGTTGAGTCTCGGGACAGAAAGCCTCAAAAAAAAAAAGTAATTAATTTAAATTAATCAAACAGAACCTATATCAGCACATGTTGTTTGGGAAGGGTTCAAGAAAAAAAATCAAGAAAACAAAATACTCTCATTCAAAAACAAACATATAGTGTATTCAGCTGTCATACTCTACTTGAACTTCAAACAGGACTGGGTTCTATGGTCAGATGAAACTAAAAAAAAATAACTTTTTAGCAGCAAACACTCAAGATGGGTTTGGTGCAAACAGGGATAAAAAGTACCCCATGTGTACAATGAAATATACTGCTGTATCTTTAATGTTGTGGGCCTATTTTTCTGCCGGAGGTCCTGGATATCTTGTTCAGATACATGGCATCATGGATTCTATCAAATACCAACAGATAAAAACTCAAAACCTGACTGTCCCTACTTGAAATCTTATAATGGGCCATGGCTGGATTACCCATCAGGGCAATGATCCAAAAAAACCCCCATCAAAATCAAAACAAAAACGAGCACAAAACGAAGGTTCTGCCATGGCCATCCCAGTTCTCTGACCTGAACCCTACAGAAAATGAGTGGGGTGAACTGAAGAGGAGAAGCACCAACATGGAGCTGGGAATCTGAAGGGTCTGGAGAGATTCTGGATGAAAGAATGGTCTCTGATCTCTTGTCAGATGTTCTCGAACTCATCAGGCATTAGGTGAAGACTCAGAGCTGTTATCTTGGCAAAAGGAGGTTGCAAAAAGTATTGAATAAAAGGGTATGATTAATTGTGGCCAATATGTATTTGACATTTATTATTACATTTAGTATTAGACATTTATTTCATAATGATATTTTATCTCCATTTTAAATTCTTATTCTTCAATGAAAGGTTAGATTTGTGTACATTTTGTAAATAAAAGATCAAAAGGATTAACAGTGCAGATTTATTTTCACAGCCTTCTTTGATCATATTTACCAAGGGTATGAATTATGTTGAGCACAACTGGAACTGCAGCAGTGCAATTATAATTTATAGTTCTTCTTATAGTTATCATTCTTTACATGTACAAACCTTTAGGGTGATTCTTAACCAACTGTGTAGCATTATTGACTGAATCAAAATGCTGTTATACAACATGTGTAATAGCTTTTACAAGTGTTTTTTTTTTTTAAATTAAACTCATTGTTTTAATCGTTCTCTCACTCCTCAGCCTTAAGCAGACTCTGCTCTCTCCGTTCTCTGCTCAACACATTCAACAGTCCTTGTTTCACCGAAAAAGTAAGTCTCTATTATTCAACAAATATATTCTGATTTTGTCATTTCAAAACTTCTCTATTTTCTAATCATATGTTCAATTGTTACAGCTGAAAATGAAGGCAGCAGCTATTCTTTCCTGCGTTTCATTGATGTGTCTCCTGCTGAGATGTCTAACATCATGCTTCAGGGGACTCTAGTGAGGTAAGTTATACCACACTCACGTCAGTCAGAGAATAATACATTAAAATACACACTTCCTCTGAATTAGGATAGTTCACTTTAGGAATATTCTGTTGCATGGTATGCATAACCATGCAACAGAGCATTCCTAAAGTGAACTATCCTAAGCATAATTCTAATAAGAACTGAATATATCAATAGGAATCTAATTATTGCCACACTTGGATGCATCACTGAGTGCATTAAGGTGAGATTTGGGTGTGTGTTTCCTGTGGCAAACAAACACATCTTAAAATAAAATCTCCTCTTTTCTCAGGTGGTTAGCAGTATATCTGTCCTTCAAATCGGCCTACCGGCTCCACCACAGCCGTCTGTGGGATGAAGAGGTGGAGGAGAACGAGGCTAAAGGGAGAGCCCGGCTAGGAAAGCTGTTTCTTTCACACAGAGATCTCATCCTGTGGCTTAACCGGCCAACATCTTTCCCAAATGTCCACAGCAGTCCTATTCTACAGGTGAGCTCTGACCTTCTTTTTCTTGTTTTGTCATATGATATACTAGTTGCCTTCATCACCATATGCTAGTGGTTCTCAACGTTTTTGACTCCAAGGCCCCCCTTTGTCCAAGACTATTCGACAACCCTCCAACCTAAGATGATATAGACTTCTGGTACTTCTGTGGTAATAAAAATAAATAAACTCAATAATATGATGTCAATTTAATGTTGTACATTTATTTTAATTGAATACATTTAATTTTATAGTTAATAAAATGTATTTATTTAAATCAATTATTTTACATAATTTGACAAATGTTTACTTTTGACAAATAATTTGACAAATATTTATTTATTTATTTTTGCAGTTTAATTAAGATGATTTTACTATAAATAAATTCTACTAATTTTAACATTTATTGGGCCCCTCCTGGAGGTTTCCTGAGACTTCTTAGTAGGCCATGGCCTCTTTGTTGAGAACTTATAACAAAGCATATGCTGTCATTTCTAAGCGTTCTTTTGTCAGAACAGTGTCAGATTACAAAAGTTAACTTTTTGTGTGAATGGTCCCCCAGACTTCTCATTATTGGCACAAATTCTGGTCGAAAGGAATGTCCAAAAATATTAAGTACTGGTTATTTCTCAGGCATAACTCAAAAGACAGCATGGAACAGTTCTGCTTCTAGATGTCTAGTTAACGTGCTCTAAACAAAACGGAATATCTTCCAAATATTTGCTTGCACAAACTTTGGCATATTTCATTGTTCATAGTATTTCTTGCGTTTGGAGTTTAGTGTTTGAGGGTGCAGGTCTGCTCTTGCCTTGGGTTACCCCACTGAACCAGATTGAATGACCCTCATCTTTCATTAGCAGCAAGGGCTCAGATTTCATTATGGAAACCTATTTCCACTCACCCACAAGACACTCCAGTGTTGCTGTATATCAAATGCTGATGGGTAATATCAATGGTCCAAACTGATTATCGGGAAAAAGAAAGATGATAGAGGTAGTGGTGCTGGATGTCCCAGTCCAGAAGCTACAGTGTCGTCCCCTGGAGGCCAAACAGCAGCAGGGGTTAACCTGCAGTTTGGCGCGCTGGCGTGCATTCAGGCTACGGTCAGGGGAAGCTGTGTGTGCAGAAGGTGCTGACTGAGGTGTAATATTATCCACTTCCCACTACAGCTTTTGTACCACACAAGCGTCTCCTAGCTCCACTGGGGCATGGATGGGGAACACGAAACCACAACAATCAGCTCCCCGTGTGGACTGGCCCATATCGAGCACTCAAGGTTGTAAAGAACGTTAAACTATACTAACTAGTTACAAAAGTGAAAGCACCTGCCTTTTTCTGCAATTTCAGATCTTCCCCAGACTCAATTTGGAGAGGCTCAGTTTTCTCCAAACATTGCAACATATTGTGATTTTGAGTTGTAAACCAAGATACTCAGCAAAACTGATTCCCAGTCTCTAAATTTAAGCTGTCAGTCTGTGATTTGTAAGTAATCACGTATTGCTTAAGCCCAGTGCTGAATGTGAAGCGAGGGGTCCTCCTCTCAGAGGTGCTCTGTGCAGATGGAGCTGATCTGTGTGTTGTTGTATGGTAATTAGTGTTTCATGTATTTGTATCAGTCAGTATGCAGCCGCAGGCAGCAGTGCTGTGAGAATCTCAGTGCTTTGGATGTGGATCATATTGATGTCTCATCTGTTTGTTCGGTCACTCTCACTGAGGTCTTGGCTAGAGTTTCAAGCCTGTGCTTTATGAAACGAGACATGAGCACTCCTAGATAGACTGCAGTACCTACCTTTCTTTCTTTCTTTCTTTTTCTTTTCCTTTGTCGTTTTTCATTCTTTCAGTCGTACTTTGGTCTTTCTTTTCTTCTCTCTCTGTTTTCATTATTGTTTTCTTGCTTGCTTTTTATTCTTTCTTTAGTTTTTTCATTTTATTTTTTCTGTTTATTTGTTCTTTCACTGTCCCACTTGTTGTTCTTTCATTTTGCTTTCCTGTCATTTATTAAAAAAAGTTCTTGCCTTTTCTGCGTTTTTTTCACTCATACTTGATTTTTGCTTGCTTTCCCCCCTATTGTTCCATCTTGACTTTATTTTTGTTCCTCTGTTCTCATAATCTTTCTTGCACTCTTCCATTTTTCTTTCTCCATTCCTTTGTTCTTTTAGTTATTGCTGTCGTTTTGCTTGCTTTTGCTTTTTTAATTTCCTTTCTCTCTTGATTTTTCTTTTTCTTTCTTTCTTTCTTTCTTTCTTTCTAGTTCTTGTTGACTCTCATTCTTTTCTCACTTTCTCTCTTTTCTTTCTTTCTCTCTCATCACATGTTTTTCACACCACATCCATCATTAGCTCACAACCTCCTCTAAATGAAGTTGACAGGTCTGTTTATTCTTGTCACTTGTGTGGATGCAGACCGGAAACAAGCAGATATATAGGCTGGACTTTATGATTCATGTGGGTCATTAGAGCTATAGTTCGGACTGTGACCCCCGTCTGAATGTCTGTTACCACCGTGGTCTCATTTAGGGTATCACTTCTGCTCAGAGTGACCTCTTGGCTTGTGACAAATGGAGCTGATGAGATGGGAGTTGGGTTTACATTAGATAACTCATTGTAGAGAGTAGGGAGATCACTAGGAGGTGCTACAGGCCCATGTTCTCCTTTGTGACAAATTCACAAGTCCTTCAGAAAAACGGTCATCCTCACACACACACACATTCAGTCATACGTGTTGACATTTTGACAGTATGTGATTTAGTAGGGTGTAATATGCTATACTGACTTTTATTTTTCTTTCTTTCCTGCAGGATTTAGTGTTCACGTCCACAGGGTCTTCGCTGATCTGTCACCCTGACGTGGTCATCCACAGCAGACGCACATCCGTTCAGACATTCAGACCGTGCCAGCCTACCCAACCACCCAAGTTTTTACTCCCCGTCACACCCAGGGTGAGAAACACATAGCATTTCCCTAAAAAAAAAAACCATAAAAAACTTAGTGGATCATATTGATTGCCAGTACTTCCACTCAGTGGTTTGAAATAAATCCAGATTTCTGTATGCAGTAACCCTGTTTTCAATATCCAGTAACACTTTGGCAAAAGTCAGAAACTCATCAACATGGATTTCTACTGAGGGTAGTCAGATGCTGACAGGGATCTCCCGCTGTCTCAGCAACAAACTTGCTGTCCAAAATGAAAGACTTGTTCTCTGTGTGGCCCTCAGTACAAGCCTGGTTTATTTATCCTCTTTGACCCCCTGACAGATCTTCTGCTCAGCTGATAATGACCCCGGTGGAGAGTAACCAAACAACACAAGCCCACCAGTGAGAAATCAGAGGTCTTGGTTAAGGGCTGCTTCTCTGACTGTGAATACAAAGCCCATCAAAACCCACACCGCCGTTTGGGATATTCTCAAGCTTGGGGATATTATTGAGATATTGTGAATTCATGTCTTTGGTATTGGAGGAAACGTGGTAGTTGAGACTTACATCATTTGCTAGTTCAAGATCAACATTCCTTTCAAACAATTCTAGCAAAACAATTACATGTACATTATCCTTAGTTTTACTTCTTATTCTTTTCATATAACAATAAAAGCTAAATAGTCTATTGATTCCATTTGAATTCTCATTTTAAAATACTTTTTATAATGATAATTTTATTTATATAATAATATTATAATTTGTATGTTTACATATTTTTATTAGATTTCTATAGTTATTTATGTAACTAATAATATAATAGTTATTGTTTTATTATTTTATTTATATAAATAATAATGTCAGAATGTATTATTGTACTATGCACTATTTGTATTATAATTTTATTTATTATAATGAAGTAATTAAATATTTTAATATATTTTATAGTATTTTATTTTATAAAGCTAATTACATTATAATTCTTCTATATTCTTATTTAATTATAATATTATAATTTTATGTTTTATTCTCTTAGTTTTCTTCCTTGTTTTCCCAGTTTGAACCTCAGCTCTTTTCCTAACCCTAAACATGTCCCCCACCCTTTAAACCAGAGATGATTTTACCTTTTATCAAATGACACTTTGGTCAGAATCTTTTTTCAAACCCTTAAGCCTAACCGTAACCCTAAACCTAATCTGAAAATCTGATTGGTAGATAGCAAGGTTGTTTCAGATCCAGCAAAAGACGGCGAGCCAGGAAAACTTCCTACTTAAGCTAGTCAAGATATTAATCTTTTATACGTGACCAGTGTGGTTGTACTGAATCATATCTGCAACGTTAATGGCTCAGTCATGTATGAGAAACTGTTTTCTTTTTCCTCCAACATCTGCTGTTAACTTTGCTAATGTGAGGCTATCTCAGTGTTATCCCAGCCCCAAGAGTCGGGATTGTGTCTAGCCTCATGGCCGCGCTGTGAGAATTGGCACCGGCCACTAGGCACCAGGGGCATATGGGCACTGTGGGAAAGTGATAAGATAGATTAGTCGCCTTTTTTCTCTTTATTCATGAGGGACTCCTGACCCTGTTGGCTTTTTATGGCCACATCTGCGTGTCCGCGCTCCTATTGGTCAGCTGTTCGCTACAAAACTGGAAGCCTGGCCAAAGCTGAGCTGTTTTTCATCAGAGATAAGAATGAAAGGAAGATAATATGATCCGCTTGTCAGCACGCCATAAAATTCTCCATAAAGCTGAAAGAGGGATAAAGCGAGAGGGAGAGAAAAGAAATGGCCAGTGGAAGGGATTGTAAGCGGTGTGAGTCACTACAGGAAATGGTCATCTGTTACTCAAAGGCCTGTTAGCGCTGTTAGCACCGCTGACCTCTGCCACGCTTTCCTGCCAGAGCGGCAGGGTTCGGACAAAATGTCAGAAAGACAGGGTTGTGCGTGCCTGTGTGTGTGTGTGCGCACGTTCAACAACTGGAAATGATTCTTCTCCCCCCTTCAAGCTCCAATTTGTTTGGCGTTTGTTAGTGATAAAAAGACTGAATTGGGAAATAGATGGCAATTATCTGGAGGAAAGACACTTTGATAATGTAAACAGCCTCAGAGGTGTTGACTAAGGGATTTTCTTCTTTCCCTAGGTGACTTCAGTTCCCATGGAACGCTATTGTGCAGATCGCAGTGCCGAGTATGAATGGAGGTTAATACGAGATGGAGGGAGTCTCATTGCTAAGCAGTGCTTCCTGTACGGATCCCCCGAGCTGGCTTGCGCCTGGGCTCAACGCTCTCAGGCCTTCCTCCCTCAGAGCCCAGGGGGCGTCATGGCCCTGCAGCAAAGACACGGCTGGTCCTTCATAAGGATTCCAGGTAGGTGAAATCCTGGGTGGGAGTTAGCGTGCGTGTGTTTGTTTATGTTTGCTCATGTGTAAAAGCGGTTGAGAGGTACTTCATTTTTCCAAGACGTTTGTATCCGGCTATTGTCCTTGCAAAGACATTTTCATTTAAGACAAAGGACTTTCTAACATTCATTGGTTTGATCATAAAGGTTTCGAATGTCTCGAGGGGAAGTCTAAATTTTATTGAAATTTAGAATGCCCTCAGCAGCGATAACTCCCTCCTTTAGACCAAACACAAACCATAGTACATAGTGTCTCAGTTCTTTATGGCAAGCCTTCAGGCCCCGAGGGATCTCATGGCACCGCTGTGCTCTGGGGCCAAAGTGCATTTCAATCAAACAAAACTCACAGAGTGGATAAAAACGAGATGGAGAACCATGGGAGAGTGCCGGAGGTCACAGAAGAGGCCACGTCTGAAGGCCAGTGCCCCTCAGTCACCGTCACTGTTTTGGCACCAATGCACAGCCATTTGTCACATATTTAGCATGACAGTTCGATAGGAGTAGTGCCAGGCAATACTTAAGACTACATTTGCAGATAAGACAGATTTTTGCATCAGCCTGTTGCGTGAATCGTGTGCAGGCATGTGTTTGAGTGTGCGTTCCAGTGTAATTGCTGGGAGCAGACTGGGGAAGAGAAAGAGGTCTGGGAGCGCTTGTGAAGTTGGGAGGGGGGACAAAGCAAGGAAGTTGGACTATTGGACATTGTTTCGGCACAGCGTTAGGTAAGCGCTTTGAATGTGTATGTGTGTATCACTGTGAATGTTCATTCACAGGCTTAAGGTGTTTCAGAGCGCACTTTTCCCATTTTCTCAGAGTCATACTGTACCCAGGGAAGGAAGTGACACAAGTCTGGGTAAGAGTCATTGAAGTATGCTGGTGGTCCCACATAGGGTGATATATATATATATTTTATATATAGAGAATAAAAAATGTTAATGTAAAAAAAAAAAAAAAAAAAATTTATATATATATATATATATAAATTTTTTTTTTGTTTTTGTTTACATTAACATTTTTTATTCTCTTTTTTTTCCCCTTCGTGTGTGGGGGAAAAATACTTTTTAATATATATCAAAATCTAAATGTGTCTGTATTTGTAAATCTGTAATGTAAGATGCAAATAAAAAATGACATAAGTTTAATAGTTAAATAAGTTATATAGATCAGGGATTCATAAATGGGGGGATCATATATAATTGAAAATAGGCTTAAAGTGAATTAATAAACATCAGATTAAAATAAACAAGGAAATAAATTAGTGAATAAAATACTATAAGAGTACTGTACTATAATGAGTAGAAAAAAACATGATGTAATTTCATAGACACATATTTTAAACATATTTACAATTTATTAATTTTCCAAAGTTGGGTGTTTACAAGAAACTATATAAATACTTTTTAAATTTTAGGATGGGGGTCCCTCGCATGAGGATGATAATATTTGGGTGTCTTTGACCTCTTAAAGATTGAAAACACTTAATTACATGAATTGTATCATTACAGATACATTTTTGAGTTGTATAATAAACTCATAAAAATCAGGATGATCACACTAACAGGTCGTACATTTATTAAAGAATAGTAATAGTAGAAGAATATATATTTTTATTTACATCTTAGTTATAGAGTTATGCATACATTTATACCTGAGACAAATGTGGACATGTTCACCTCTGTCCTCTTTATAGTGCATAAGCATTTACTGTACAGTGGGTATAGAAAAGAATCACTCCCCCTTAAAATAATCACATGTTGTTGCTTTGCAGCCTGAAATGAAGACGGACACAGTTTTTGTTTTATCCAGCTGTATTTACTCAGTGCAACTTATAACATCCAAGTGAAATATATAACACCAACAAAAAAAGAAATTAATTAATAATAAATAAATAAAAAACGGAATCACTGAGTTGGACAAAGGATCACCACCCTCCTAAAACGACTTGTAAACTCAATCAGATGTAGCTAATCACCTTCTCAATGGCACACAAAGTCATTTGACTTTCAGCTGTGATCAGTTGTGGTCATCTTGATGAGCTCAGCATGAAAAGAGTTTTCCTGGAGCATTTCAGTCTTTGGTAGTGCAACTGAAGCAAACAATCATATATGGGTGTCAAGGCACTGTCAAAAGATCTCCGGGATAAAGTTGTGGACAGGCACAAATCAGGAGATGGATACAAAAAAATACAAAGGCTTTATCAATACCTAGAAGGTAAGGCAAGGCAAGGCAAGTTTATTTATATAGCACATTTCATACTCAATGGCAATTCAAAGTGCTTTACATAAAAGAAAGTAAAATAACCATAAAAATGATCAAAACAAGAAAAGCACAGTGAAGTCTATTATTAAGAAGTGGAAGGTACGTCTCTCCAAACTGTATGAAAGAGCCAGGAGGAAACTGCTCAGAGAGGCTATCAAGAGGCCTACAGCAACTCTGAAGCAGTTTCAGGAATTTATGACAAAGAGTGGTCATTGTGTGCATGTGACAACATCATAAATTCTCCACAAATGTGGCTTCATGGGAGGGTTGCAAAAAAATAAGCCACTCCTCAAGAAAGGCCATGTGCAGTCACAACTGAGCTTTGCCAAAACATACCTTGAAGATTCTGAGGCAGATGAGACTAAAATTTAATTATTTGGCCTCAACACCAAACGATATGTCTGGTGGAAATCCAATACAGCTCACCATCCAAATAACAGCATTCCTACAGTAAAGCATGGAGGTGGTAATGTCCTGTTATGGGGGAGTTTCTCTGCAGCAGGGACTGGAGCATTTGTCAGGATAGAAGAAAAAATGGATGGAGTAAAATGCTGTCAAATTCTTGTGGAAAGAAGGTTTACCTTCCAACATGACAATGAGCCAAAGCACACAGTAAAACTGACCACACAGCGGTTAAAGGAGAAAAAGCTGAATGTCCTTGCATGACCGAGTCAGAGCCCAGATTTAAACCCCACTGAAAATTGGTGGAAGGACTTGAAGACTGCAGTCCACAAACGCTCACCATCAAATTTAACTGAACTTCAGCAGTCCTGCAAAGAAGAGTGGGCAAATATTGCAATCTAGATGTGCAAAGTTAGTAGAGACAAATCTCAACAGACTAAAAACTAATTAAAACAAAAGGTGGTTCAACAAAATACTGACACAAGGTGTGATCCTTTTTCCAACTCAGTGATTCTGTTTTTTTATTTTATTTTTTCTGACATGTTGGAGTTTTATCTTTCACTTGGTTGTTAAAAGTTGCACTAAAATGAGTAAATACAGCTGGATAAAACAAAAACTGTGTCCGTCTTCATTTCAGGCTGCGAAGCAACAAAAAGTGTTTATTTTAAAGGTGGGTGATACTTTTCCATACCCACTGTATTTACTGTAACGCACACAAATTTAGCAAGATTCAATTTGACGCATATTTTTTGGAGATGTCAACATTGGCGTGTCCCCAGCTGACTGGTTTGTACACATGAAAGTGTTAGTGTACTGATGCTGTACCTTTCGTGTCACACTAATTGGGGGGCAGGCTACAGGAGGACAGGCTTTCTCTTACAATAGCTCTGCACATTGTTGTAATGCGACTGCTGCTTTGAGCTGTTGTTTTGAGGGAGAGAGAGTGAGAATGCTGCAGAGCTCAGCTCACAGACAGCCTGTGGGAAACTCTGCTTTCCCTTCCTGTTCTTTCAAAGAATCTCTGCACTCCAGCAAAATGGCCGGAAATATTCCTGGCCTTTTTGATTTGGGGCCCAAACAACAGTGACTGCATAACTGTTTGTGATCTGCTCCCTCGCCCCGCCTTTCTGACTGTGAAAAACAGCCAGACTTCACCAAAGTGTTTGGAAAGATTATCCACATGGTTTGTATATTAAGAAGTAATATATATGTATATTATTTAAAGGCACTGTCAAAAGATCTCCGGGATAAAGTTGTGGACAGGCACAAGTCAGGAGATGGATACAATAAAATTTCAAAGGTTTTAACAATGCCTAGAAGCACAGTGAAAGCTATTATTAAGAAGTGGAAGGTATTTGGCACAACACAGACCCTCCCTGGATCAGGACGTCACTCCAAACTGGATGAAAGAGCCAGGAGCAAACTGGTCAGAGAGGCTACCAAGAGGCCTACAGCAACTCTGAAGCAGTTTCAGGAATTTATGACAAAGAGTGGTCATTGTGTGCATGTGACAACATCACAAATTCTCCACAAATGTGGCTTCATGGGAGGGTTGCAAAAAAATAAGCCACTCCTCAAGAAAGGCCATGTGCAGTCACAACTGAGCTTTGCCAAAACATACCTTGAAGATTCTGAGGCAGATGAGACTAAAATTTAATTATTTGGCCTCAACACCAAACGATATGTCTGGTGGAAATCCAATACAGCCAAATTCTCCACAAATGTGGCTTCATGGGAGGGTTGCAAAAAAATAAGCCACTCCTCAAGAAAGGCCATGTGCAGTCACAACTGAGCTTTGCCAAAACATACCTTGAAGATTCTGAGGCAGATGAGACTAAAATTTAATTATTTGGCCTCAACACCAAACGATATGTCTGGTGGAAATCCAATACAGCTCACCATCCAAATAACAGCATTCCTACAGTAAAGCATGGAGGTGGTAATGTCCTGTTATGGGGGAGTTTCTCTGCAGCAGGGACTGGAGCATTTGTCAGGATAGAAGAAAAAATGGATGGAGTAAAATGCTGTCAAATTCTTGTGGAAAGAAGGTTTACCTTCCAACATGACAATGAGCCAAAGCACACAGTAAAACTGACCACACAGCGGTTAAAGGAGAAAAAGCTGAATGTCCTTGCATGACCGAGTCAGAGCCCAGATTTAAACCCCACTGAAAATTGGTGGAAGGACTTGAAGACTGCAGTCCACAAACGCTCACCATCAAATTTAACTGAACTTCAGCAGTCCTGCAAAGAAGAGTGGGCAAATATTGCAATCTAGATGTGCAAAGTTAGTAGAGACAAATCTCAAC